TATTTATTTAAGAAATGGGGGGGTTCTCGCTCTGTCACCCAGGCCGGAGTGCAGTGGCGCGATCATAGCTCACTGCAGCCTCGAACTCTCCTGGGAATACAGGAGAGATGCTTGTCTTCTTGCTCACGGGCTGTCTCTCCCCCAGCACCCCAAGTGGCGCCTGGCACGTGACAAGTGCCCAATAAATCATTGTCGAATGAATGAACAGAGAGGCTGTCGCCCAGCCTTTGGCAAAGCTTTAGAAGCAGAAGGAAATCTCCCCAAGGACTATCGCGGGGATCCTGGACAGGGAGGCAGAGAGAGGTGGGAGTGGGGTGGGGGCTGGGGTGTCCCCCAGTTGCTTAGCGACCCCCATGGTCCGTCCCCAGAATTCCCCTGTGCCTGGCTGCTTGGCCGGCTCTGCGCACCTGCTCGGCCTTCAGGGTGAGCTCGATAAAGATTTGCTGCAGCTTCTCGTTGACGAAGTTGATGCAGAACTGCTCGAAGCCGTTTTTCTGCCGAGGGAAGAAAAGGCTCCTTCCCTTGGTGGGCTGACGCTGGAGGCTCTGTGGCCACTGGGCTGTCCCGGGAGTTCCGGGGAGGACAAGATGGGGGCCAGCCAGGGGCAGGGGCTGTACCTGGAAGATCTCAAAGCCGTAGATGTCCAGCACGCCGATGCTGTACTCTTCCTGTGGCTTCTGCATTGCACGGTTGATGGCCTGGGATGTGGGTGGGGACAGGTCAGACCTGCACCCCGCTGCCCGCCACCCTCTAGATATGTTCTCAGCCAAGTTCACGGGCGATGGCCCCTCCCCCCAGTCACCCACAGGAGAAACCCAAGTGTCAGTGCATCGGGGTTCCAGACCAGGGAGCCGCTCTGCTGCCGCACCTCTTGGCGCCCCTATTTTCTCATCTTTATTGATTGATTGATTGATTGATTGATTTTGAGACAGAGTCCCACTTTGTCACCCAGGCTGGAGTGCAGTGGCATCATCATTTTGCACTGCATCCTTGGAATCCTGGGCTCATCTGATCCTCCTGCCTCAGCCTCCCAAGTAGCTGGGACTACAGGTGCACGACACCATGCCCGGCTACATTTTTTTTATTTTTTGTAGAAATGGGGTCTCACTATGTTGCCCAGGCTGGTCTCGAACTTTTTTTTTTTGAGGATTAAAGAAATCGGTGCACATAAAATGCTTAGAACATGCCTGGCACACACTAAGTGCTGTATACGCTTCCTGTTCCCTTCCACCCTTATTTCGTCCTTCACTTTGTCCCCTTGAAAGCCCTGCTGGGTGGCTCTCAAATGCACCCACCCCTCTCTGTCCCCACATCGCCTATCCCAGTCCCAGCGCCTGGGCGGCTCCAGCAACCTCCTCTTCCCAGGGCCAGAGGAGTCTCTAAATCTTCCCTCTGATCCACCTGCTGCCTTAGCCGAAAGCCCCTCACGCCCAGGAATTGGTGGGATTTTGATGGTCAATCCTGTCTCTTCCACTTGGCTGGGTATACACCAGGCGCCCCATAAATGTTTGTCGCCCCAGAGCATCCACCCAGCGCTCCAGCCCTGGGCCCCACTGGCCTCCACAAGGAAGTCGAAGAGGCGGGCGTAGAGACCCTTGGCCAGGGCGTCGCGGGTGTAGGCTGCTTGTTCCACATTGAGGGTGACGTCGATGGACTCGCTGCGCCCACCCCAGCGGCTGTCCATCTTGCGGCTGGTCAGCTTCTCCTGCAGCCGTCCACAGTCGATGCCCAGCAGGTAGGCGGGAAAGGCCAGGACTGCGAGGCCAGGGCAAAAGAAGGCATCGTGTGGGGACCTCCTCCTCTCCTCATCTCGTCCAGTGACGCCATCACTGTCCTTGTGACTTTTGCACCCTCCCGGGGCTGAACTAGGAGGAAGCGGTTCACCCACGCGCAGGCCTCCACCCCGCCCTCCCCGGCACCCACACTCACGGTCCACGGTCTCCACCTGGGCGTAATTCCCGTATTCGCAGAAGCTGATGTTCCCCAGGTGCAGGATCCCCGCCACCAGCTGCAGGACCAGCTGCTGGACGTTGGGCGGGATCCCGATGACCTGCATGGCGCTCTGTGGGCACAGCGGGGACAGAAACTGAGCCTCTCTGGTCCTGGCCCTCACCCTGCCTCTGGGTGTCGGGCTTCTAGGGCCACAGCACGGACTCGGAGTGTCAAGATACCTCCCCTGTCTCTTTCTTTCACCCACTTGCTGTGTGACCTTGCGTAACTGCCTGCACCTCTCTGGGCTGTGGTTTCCCGGTTTGTAACTGGAGAGGATTCCCCGGGCTGAGGGTCCGGCTGGGGGCTGGAGTGGCGGCCGGTGCTCACCAGCGTCTCACCGAAGTCACTCCTGTCATCGGTGCCGTCCACCTTGTAGGTGTCCGATTGGTTGAGGTAGTAATAGTATTCGGGCGTCATGAGCCCCAGGTTCTGCCGCTGTTCGTGGGAGGCCCCTTCCAGCAGCTGGAGGGTGTGTGAGGCTCACGCATCTGGTGCCGGCCTAGCACGGCCCGTGTGACCCCCACCCCCCGGTCCTCCCTGTCGCGGGCTCCCGCACGGCGACCTTCCCATCGTCTCCCCCCAGGGTCCAGCTGGTCTCCCTCCGCCCCAGCCCCACGGCCCCCTTCCCTGCACCTGGTAGTAGATGTGGAAGTTCCTTTCGCTTTCGTTCTGCATCACCACGCGGGACTTCTCCAGCAAGAAGTTGGAGATCTTGCCCCCATCCGGCTCCCCGCCTCGGCTGAACTGGATCTCGAAATACTTTCCCTGAGTCCGAGAGAACCACGTCAGCTCCGCCTTCCCTCGCCAGGTCCCAGGGGTGCGAGTGGCGGAAGGATTGGGGAGGGTTCTTATACGTCCGGCCCCTCTTCCCCTCTTCCCATGTGACCTTGACTCCCTTTTCTCTCCCCGCCTCCTACTTTTGGACGACTCGCCTTTTTCTCCCGCTGCTACCCCCAGCCTGTGCTCAGGCTGTGTTCCTGGGCCAGGGATGTCCTTTTTCCCCCTCTCTGATGCTCCAAACCCTTACTCGGGGTACACAGCCCTGTGCCTGGCACATAGAAGCATCACTTTTTTGATGCCACCCAGGCTGGAGTGCAGTGGCGCCATCATAGCTCACTGCAGCCTCCAACTCCTGGGCTGAAGCGATCCTCCTGCCTCAGCCTCCCGGGTAGCTGGGACTACAGGCACGAGATACTGTGCCTGGCTAACTTTTTCTATTTTTTTTTTTAGAGATGGGGTCTCAAGATGTTGCCCAGGCTGGTCTCAAATTCCTAGCTTCAAGTGATTCTCCCACCTTGGACTCCAAAAGTGCTGGGATTACTGGTGTGAGCCACCATGCCCGGCCAGAAACATCAGATTTTATTGGCAAGTTCTGCAGTTCCACCATGTGTGTCTGTGGGATGCTACTGATCCCAGTGATGCTGGGTGTCTCCCATTGCCCTCCCTGAGCCCAGAACAAGGGCACAGGTGCCTTCTCTGGTCTCTGACACCATGTGGATTTTGCTTTGGCCAGAGGTTGAAGGGCAGAGAAGTTCCCTGTTTCTCCTTTCTGCCACCTCCTTCCAATAACAACACAAATTATGTCATCATGCTACACAATTAGACACCTGTAATATATAACATATGCTTATTCTAGTGCACAATAAAATTGTATAAAATAAAACATATGTTTTTGAGGTTCATCCATGTTTTTGTATGTATCAGTAGTTTAAAAATAACACATATTATGTGATTCCATTTACAGATGAAGTTCTAGAACAGTTGAAACTAATCAATGGTGAAAAAATTAGGAGAAGGGTTGTTTCTGGGGTAAGGT